ATTGACCTATCCGTCTCGTGCCGATAGGGTTTATCCCTTCCACGAGTGTGCGAGAGTACGCGCGTTGCCATTTCGATATTACTGTATGGCCATTTCTGTATCACGCAATATCCCGTATATAATCCCCAGGTAAATCAAATCACTCAAAGCGAGACCGCACACGTAGCCAGATTAAACACCGCACGGCTTCGAAATCAGCGGGCAGAATGTATCGTGTCGAACGTGACGATACTCGAGGCGACAAGAAGTCTCGCGAAGGAATTTCCTGACGAAAAATCGTATCACGTAGAGCGGCGTAACAAAACTGTTCCATCCCTTTTGTGATAGTTACACACGATACGAAAATCGCACGCACACTCGCGCATGACAAAAATACGGCGACACAGTTGCGTCGTCGCTTTTATTTTTATTGATAACAGTTTTGCGCGTCGCTTTTATTTTTGATTGATAACGGCTTTCTGCGAGAAAAAACGGAAGAAGAAAAAGGAGAAACGGCATCTATTCTCATTTTTAGCGTGCCACGATATGCGTGTACAATCGAATATACAGCGGCTCTTTTTTCTTCTTACTGAAACACTACCGGGGCAAACGTCATATCAGTCACGTGATTTTTAATTTACTACACTTCCCGCCGAGTTTACTCGATATCCGAAACGACATGCATATAACCCGCCGAACTAACTCTATTATTATCCGACTAGTCGAGTCATGCTACGCCTAGGGAAACGGTAAATTACATTTCTCATTGTTAAACATCGCCGTGGAATTTGTTACTGGGGAATTGCTTTCACACCGAACCGGGGACACGCTACTTTCATCATATTTAGATCCGAACGGGCGTCATAACGTGCACCGAGATGTAATTCAGAGTCGAATCTCTCTTCCGGTCAAAATTTCAAAATAAAGTCCACTCGCGTTCTTCTGAATGTTTCTAATTCTTCTAATTAAATTTCTTCTAAAATTCCAAAGTGCTCAGCCCGGTCTTGATGTATGACGAGCCATAGTCAAATATGGCCGCGTATTAAAATATAATCTATATCACAGAGATTTAACGAACCGTTTAATTCTATCGACACAAATTTTCAACTGATAGGAACACAGATGTTTCCTCGCAGTTGAGAGAAAAAATACCTGAAAAGTAAAAACACATTTATTCGGTGGGTACTGACGACACATTTACTAGAATCTAAATGTTTTTGTTAAGAATAAACAATTGCTTTCGTCAGGAGCGACGGTTCTACACTGAGAAAAAAGTAATTGAGTCAATGAGGCTTTGCTTGAAAAAACAAAATTCGTTCAAGTAAATGTTTAGTTACTTAAATTATATCATTGCCACGACGAGAGTCGTCAATTGATTCAACGATTGCGATTTGGTCAGTAAATACATCAACTAACGCGTAATTTGTTCAATAGACGCAATATTCCTTTGAAGGCAGCTGACCGCCGATTTTCTCCCTCCAACTGTCTCTTTTTTTCTCAGTGTAGGAAAATATATACTCTCCTATTTATGAAAGAAATCTTTTCTTAATGTAAAAATACATACAGGGTCATCGAAAAGTATCGGACCCCCCTAATATCTTCAGTTAGAATGCATTTTGGAGAAAATGTCCAATAGCAAAGTTGTACGGCTTCAAGCGGTGATGCTTAAAAGTATTAAGGTTATGATTACTGAAAACTAAATAATATTTTACAAGATATTTTACATTTTGTGTCAAAAAATTGTTAACTTCAAACCTTTATAATTCAAAAAGTACTTAATGAAAAAATGTTTTATTCTAGCGTTTTGGAAAGCTCTCGAGATGTGTTATAAGAATATGCAATAAAATGTAGGAGGTCCCATTTAAAAAAATAAGGTTGACCTTGAAATGACCTTGAAGAACATGATCAAGGTCAAAGTTAAGGTCATCATCTTACTCCCCGCTTGAAACCATACAACTTTGCTATTGGACATTTTCTCCAAAATGCATTCTAACTGAAGATATTAGGGGGGTCCGATACTTTTCGATGACCCTGTATGTTAGTGCAAATAAATATGTACCCATGGAATAAATATTTCTTATTTTCCAGATACTCTTTCTCGCAGTGCACGATGGGACCGTTTGGGGGGGGAGGGGGGTCGAGTCGGAAATGTCGGTTTGCGAAAGCACAAAGGGATGATCTGCTGAGTTACGTCAGTAGGGCGAGCGATTTTCCAAGCGATTCAAGACCGGGCTAAGTCCTCGAGTGCGCTACGTCGATGTAAAAACAATCTCGAACGTAAGACAACACAGTCAGGCTGGTCCTCGGCAACGGGACGCCGATAATCTTATACAGAAGGGAACAGAAAGAAAACACACACAATCGTGGTCCCAGTGAGAGGTTTCGGGGAGAGAGTGTCGAGACAAGAAACCCAATGAGTAAGTTACAGCTCGCAAAACAGCTCGTTTCACAGGAGGGAGGTACCCAAAGGTGCATTCGTCAGAAAAAACAACGTTCGCCTCGTGCTCTCGCGCCGCTCGACGATTATTTTTCACGTGTCGCTGGCGCGTCGTGTTCGACGCGCCGGATCGAGACAGCGGTGTACTCTTAATTGGACGTCGTGTTCGTTAATTTCGGAACGGGTCGCGGAACTTTGAGCGAGCGACGATGCCATCGTTATAACTGTGTCGACCAGTTAGGCATTAATGGATGAAAATTTTTTCCTCGACTAAAATGATCGGCAAATCAATAATCGAAACTGATCAATCGTCACATATGAGATAGGAAATAATTTCATCGATTAATGAAATTAATCGTTTATCGAGCTTTAATATGCGATCGATTATACACTGATTAATAATTATTTTCTTTAATCGATTAAATTATTCGCGATTACAAATGTGACGAGTGATCAATTTTCGATTACTGATTCGCCGATTATTTTAGCCAGAGGAAATGTCAATCGGTTAATGCCGAACACTGCTGCCAAATACTGATATTTGCCTGGAAAAGGTCGTTGACAAGAGTTCATTAAAATGTGCGTACTCACACAAGTTTACGGCAAAGTTTACAAACACACAGCGGTGTAAGTCGTAAAAGCCGAATGGATATTCTGATTTTACATTAACCTGGAAAATTTTCCATCTAACTGGAAGTTGTGTGTCGAGTAGAATTGCGTTTAAGTTTGAATTCGCTACAATAACAAGGCTAAACAAAAATTTTAAGAAAACAGTAGATTCAAAGTGAGATATCTTTTGCAATCTAGGAAAAGTTATTATACGCGCGAACCAAACTCAAAATTTACGTCAAATTCTGAGGATGTTACTTTATAGTTGCAAATTATTTACGATCTTCGCCAGTATTAATAGTCGTTATTTGTCTCAAGTGAAATACTTGAATTCAGAATTAGATATGAATTTTTTCGTTGTACCATATGATATATATATGATATACAGGGTGTCTCACACTCTCCTCCGGGCATTTTGTGGGAACATAGAACAGGTTGCGGTGAATATAAAAGTCCTGCCCGAATTATTGCACGATTTTGCGTGATAATGCACTCATCTTCTTTAATTAATAATTAAAAATCTATGTGATTATTTGCAAAATGGTAGAGGACTTTTTTGTTCAATTTGACCTAAAGTATAAATACACGACGGCAGTCGTCGCTGCTATAACTCATTTATCATATTCTGCATGATCATTCACAAATTTTCTACAATTAATATCTCGATAATTATTACGAATATCGCAAAACAATATAGGACTTTTATGTTCACCTCAACCACAAAATGCCCGGAGGAGAGTGTGAAACACCCTGTATATATGATACTTGTGCCATGATGTTATATATATATATATATATATATATATATATATATATATATATATATATATCTGTAGTTGTGATTCTCTCAACTGAAGAGCCCATTCGAATTCAAATCGGAGACCTCACTTGAGACAAGCTTCACATAACGACCATTAATATGGGCCTGAGAGTATAATTAATTACAGATTCCTATTCATGGGCCGTTATTCGGCTGCTCGGATCACTGTTCCTTGTCGTGTGAAGCAAATACAGGTACAAGTTGACGAGCAATCAGAAACTCGCGAGGCTATAATTAATCGTCAAATAATGACATGGCTACTAATAGCCTAAATCTTGATTCGACCTCTTTATTCTCAGTGAATTTGTCAATCGTCCCTTGAAATCGGGAAGACATCGTGTATAATCAATTATTTCTCGCACCTAGAATGTTCTGTTTATTGTGTCCCGACGTCCTGTGGCTTCCTGGCTTTCCGATCCGACACATCTCGCTCCCCACTGATCCGTCGCGACACTTCAGTTACTAGCACGCGGCACTGGCACTCACTTAGATACAATTCGATCACGGAAAAACACATGTTAACTCTTTGAATCGTAGTGGCAGACTAGTGTCCCACTTATCTTTCTTCCATTTTTAGTGATTTTAACTTTAAGCTTATCTCGGCAAATATAGGTGATAATATTGTTACTATATATTCTCATAAATGTAATAAATTAAAATAAATTAAAAATTAATAAAAAATAATTTGAGTGTTTAATTATTAGATCATTTAAGCAAATAAAAAAATGTAAAAGTGCATTTTTTCAGACAAAAATCATTTTAAAGCTATTAGGAATCAACATATCAAAACATTAATAATTTATTCAAAATAGCTAACAGAATCTTATACATTTCGAACTTTAACTTTCTCACTTCAAATTCGTGATCAGCGACTGTAAAATCCTCCAAATGCCAAATTTGAAGAAACTTCATCGAGAGATAAAATGTATGACTCAAAGGGTTAATCAACACGATACTGACGAGAGCCCGATTGAATATTTCAAAAGCCGACGAAATATTCAGATTATCCGACGGAAATTGTCGGATTGTTGTGTCGTAACTAACGTGCCGATATACACACGCGCTTGTATATATACGTATATCACTCGTCACTCGACTTATGACGTATACAACGCTCGGTCGCGGGGAAGTAGACGACGCGCGACTGTACTAAAACAATCGGCAGCGGGGGGCAAAAACCCATCAGCAGTCGCAATTGTTCGTCACTAGACAATGTCGAAATCACAACAATCAACATTCGAAAGAAACTTCTGGACCTTCCAGGCGGTCGAGTCTACTTTCAGACTTCGCGAGCTTCTCCGATCGTTTGGCATTCGAACGACACGCTGTACCACGTGTATCGGTGTGTGTCAGTTGCCATTCCCGTGTGTTTTGCGATTGAAACACTCCGCGATTAAAATATTTCGTCGACTCTTTCGAAACATTTACTCGGACTATCGTTGGCGTCCAGTTCATTCCGATTCATTCCGATCGAATCGTACATACGCGAGTGTCAGTGTCACGAGTGAGTGTCCGTTATGATGGACCCGACGTCGAGAACCAAGATGCTAGATCGGGAAGTCAGGAAGGAGCACGTACGACGTGAGCAACGATAAATTATATATTTCCAGGTATGTGAAATCATCCATTATGCATGACGCTTCCGATTTTAACAGACATTTCGTGATCGAATCGTGATTCAGGTTGACGTTCATAGTCATATTTATAGGTGTATAAAATCAGATTTTTTTATACAGATTTTCTTGTTTCGAAAGATATTGAATTGTGTAAGTAAAAATCTCGGACACGCGTATGAATTCCATCGATCTCGACCGAAATTTCGGGAAAAAAAAAGATAGTTTTTTTACTAACAAATTTATTGAGAATAAGAGGATTGAATCGAGATTTAGATCGACGTTCATATATTTATAGATGTATAAAATCGAATAATTTTTTATACAAGTTTTTTTATTTTAACAGATATTGAATCACGTAAAGAAATAGCTCTGACACGTGTGAATTCTGTAGAAAATTTTGTGGAAAAAATATATAGTGTTTTTATTAACGAATTTATTGAGAATGCGAAAATTAAAGGGATTTAGGCCGGCACTTATAATTATATTTGCAGGTATATAAAATCAGATATTAGAAGTTTTTTTATTTGAACAGAGATTGAGAAGAAAAGAATTCGAATACGTGTAAATTCTGTCGGTCTCGATCAAAGTTTCGTGGAAAAAAGAAACATATACAGATAAATATATATATAGAGTTGCTTTCTGTCAAATGACTCAACTCGGGGAAAGCGCGCGAAACAGCGGCTTCGATTCGTCGCCGCCGGATTAAACGCGACCGCATGTCTTGCAACACGGAAATAATCGTCGAGGAAGCCGTCGAGGTATCGAATAAAGGCGTACTGAAATAGTTAGATTAGGTCGCAGTAATGGTGAATTTGGTGATGGTGAATTACTTTCTGGCTGATTGCATTATATATATGTGTGGACAAACGAATGAGCGGATGCCGATTCTGATCTTGAAAGAGATCGGGGCTGATTAGGGGCCGGGGGGAAGGGTGGATATTTTGGGGTGTCGTGGAGTTGTACGACTGGTACGTTATGCCACTCTAGTGTATAACTACAAAAGGTTCAAAGGAAAGAGAAAGAGAGAGAGAGAAAGAGAGAGAGAGAGAGAGACAGAGAGAGATAGTCTCGGGGCCGTGTTGCGTCGGGGCCCGATAATCCTACCTTGAAGAGCTGTACGCCAATGACGGCGAACACGAACTGCAGGAGGCTGGTGACGAGGACTATGTTTCCGATAGTCTTTACCGCTACGATGACGCACTGTACTACGTGCTGGGTTCAACATTAATCACAATATATATTTGTCCTTTTCGTGGAGAGATGAGAATTACGCGCGTCGCATGTCGCGTTAAGGTTTTCTTATTTATCTCGTTTCGTCGATTTTTTTCTGATCGGTGTTTCCTTTTCTTTCCTTTATTTATATACTTTTTTAAATTTCTCTCGGCGAGAATCACATGTAACTCCGGCCGTGGGGTCCGAGCTCGAGTGACCATCTCGAAATCGCGAGAGCAAGGGAGTTTCGCGAAGGGAAGTCTCTTCAGAGAGCGAGCGGAACTCGGACGAATTCGTTAAGGTTGCACGACGATATGCTCCACGAGGGTGTGCACAAGGTGAATCTTTACTTACTTATTGGAGAAAATACGTTTTTTTCTTTTTTTTTTTACAAACTCTCTTACATAACGAAAAATCTGCCGGGATTCCGTGCCGTTAACTTGACTGTAAGTTAAGGCCCGGGACATACAGAAGAACTTGAGCAGTAAGACTTAAGCAGTGTGAAAATGGACCAATCATGATCGATGGCTCTTCGTGAGGAGAAGCGTCGGCTGTGATTGCTCAATTTTCTTACTGCTTAAGTTTTTCTTCTGTATGCTCCCGGTCTAATACGCGCGCGTGCGTCTGGAAAACACCCGCGACAAATATCGCTCGTTGCGAATGAATTCTCGCGTCGTTAGAGTTATCTACCGACGTGGGTCGAGCGGTCCATCTACCTGTGGGTTCGTTCTTTTCGCTCGCGCGACGAATCTCGCGTAATGAAGGTCCCCGGCAAAATACGAGGGTCGTTCAAAAAGTACGTAGTCTGATGCAGAGATAGCGCAAATTCGGCCAAATTTTTATTACCGCATTTCAGAGCCTTTCTTTATTAGCTGAAATATGAAGTACGGCGGTATAAAGTGATTTGTCAATTAGTCTTCGTTTGATAATGCGCCAAAGTGAACACTTCGAATAACTCTGTGCGTTCGTTGTTTCCACTGTTCCCTTGTTTTTCAGAGCGAAGTGGCACACGGAAAAAAATAATTTGCCGCAGCAGCAAGCTAATTTGCTACATACGGACAGTTAAATATAATTCGCTGCGTTTGCTACTTTTTTTTGCTGCAGGAACCTATTTTCTTACTATGATAACAAGAAAATCTATTCCTACAGCAAGAAAAGTGGCTAATGTAGCAAATTTATAGATAGACAACTAAATATAATTTACTGCTTTAGCTACTTTTTGCAGGAGAAGATTTTCTTGTTATCATAGCAAAGAAATTGGCTCCTGCAGCAAAGAAAAAGTGGCTAATACAACAAGTTATGTTTAGTTAGTTGTCCATATATAGCAGATCTTTTTTTTCCGTGTAGACCTAAATTTCATCGATATCTACCGGTTATAAATCGATGCTAAAAGTTCACGGTGAAATCATGCCAAAAGATGCGGGGAACAACGAAACTGTACAGTTGAGTCTTTGCTGATGATTGTGACCGGACCCATCACTCGCGGCGTTCATCTTGGCTGTCAAAGACCAGTCGACAGATCGCTCTATACCGTCATGCTCAATCTAATAAAGGAAGGAATACGGTAATAAAGATTTGGCCAAATTTGCGCTATCTCTGTACTAGATCAGCACTTTTTAAACGACCCACGGTAAACGAAAGCTACCCGTTTCGCCGATCACAGCGCGAATATTCTGCAAATGAATTCGCTCGGCGCTCTTCCACCATTTGTTATCGATAATCGCAACTTCGCGAACGCTTGGCAATCAACGTCGGAAGTATGGAGCGATTCTTTTAATTTAGCTAGCTGTGGACAATTACGGTATTATGCTTCTGGCGTTACTATTACGTCTACTGTAGGGCGTATGCTGTGAATTGGGCCGGTTTTAGCGAACTTACAGATAGATAAGACAAATGAGTAAGATACCTTCAGTCCCTTGGCGCGATTGATCGCGCGTAGCGGCCTCAGGACGCGAAGTACTCGGAGAACTTTGACCACGGAGAATGCGCCAGAACTGCAAATATACGAGAAATAATATTATCAATGTCACATAAATCAAGTGTGGGAAAAAGAATTTTTATAGAGCGAAATTTTATCTCTCAAGCGAATCGAATGCTTTCTCTCGAATTTTAACTCTTTATTTGGCAAATCCTAACAAAAAATCTAATAGACAAAATTATGTAATTAGTGTGAGTACTAATACCATATTTACTTAAATACAAATTCATTTATTTAAATGAAATATACAATTGCTTTCATGAAAAATTAAGGTTTTCCTAAGATTTTAAGAAAATGTGCATCTTCTTATTATATTAGAAAAAATATTTCATATTGATACAAATATGTTGTTAGTACTGAATAAATGTTTGTTATTTCTCAGATATTTTTTTCCCTCAGCGTGATTACAAAAGGATTTTTAGACTTTATAAACAATTTATGTATCTACTAATAAGAGGGCAGTTCTTTTACATTTCGTTTTGTTTATAAGATTAGATTAATATAAAATATGAATGTCGCATACGTGAAAGTCATGGAGACAAGAGAGGCGCACACGACCAGAAGATCGAGCAAGTTGAAAGCCGATCGGCAGAACGCACCGTCATGGATGATAAAGCCGTATGAGATCATCTTAAGGCAGATTTCGATCGTGAAGACGGCGGTGAAGAAGTAGTCGAAGTAGCCGAGTATCTGCAACACAAAGCGCCGCTTGCCGGTCACATTGTTACAGCTATCTTGGACGGATGTTGCAGTAGCTTCGCAGATATTTGAACAGGGTGGATATTTCAGCGGCGCAGATCACCTACCACATTTCTATATGACGAGGCTTTCAAGGGATCTTCAGCGGCCAACATAGCAGACGAGATCATAATGCAGATCAGTATCACGTTGCTGAAGTAACTGTGATTGCAGAACCAATGGCAGAACACGCGAAACCTGTGAAACGCGATCGAGAAGAAGTATAATCGAGACCGACTGCGTGTAAAACGATACCCGAGAAAAATGAAAAGACGGAGATGAATCTCCGATTCTTTCCTCCCGACTAGGATACGGGATCGCGATTAACAAAAGCTCCTTCCTTTTTACCTATTAGTGCTCGAAAAGATGAAGAACGCCGAACCTGCCGGTATCGGTTCCTTTTTAGTGGCCGTATTGTATTCAGACATTCTTCGCGGTCTGGCCGACACTTCTTGTCCGTCTTCTGCAAGAAAAATCACGCGCAACGTAAAAGATCCGTTGAGACGATCGTGTAGGATTATTTGCGCAAGAAGGACTTGTGTTATCAATTATGTTCAGTTGAAACAAGAATTATTAGGTCTTGATACACAGGAAAAAAGAATCTGCCGTGGTAGAAAGAATCTGTTTATAGTATTTAACTCTCACATTGTGGAAAAATGCTTGATATTTGTAACTATAATCACGTAGGGAAATAATTACTATAAATTATGATCGAGAAAATCATATTTTTATTCAATTCTACTGTTTTTCCAATGTTAGTAATAATAACATATGCATGTTGCTATTATCATTTTATGTTAAAACAATAAAAATATATGGTTGAGGTAAAAAATAACTATAATTCTGATTAGATCAAGCATTTCTATACTCTTAGTGCGTTGTAACATATGAATACTTAAAAGTACAGCTGCTTTCTTCGACATAATCTTTCTGCAACCTAAGCTTGTCGCGACGTGTCGAGCCTGCGTCTTTTATGATTTGTCATTATCGTCGACTCACTCAAATAGTAATAGAATTGGACGATCGTCGCATTTATTAGTCGAGAATTAGAAATACGATGATAATCAGAGGAATAGATAATATAGAATAGATAATATAGATAATATAGATAGATAATATAACGCTGAATTTCGGGTGATAGTGTCAGTCTGTTAGCAAGAGAGAAAGAGAGAGGAGGCACAAAAACGCGTCCTTAGGTCTGTTCTTTCTAGATGAACTGTCTAAAGTGATGCGATAAGTTAAAGTGAGACAAATATATTTGGTTTCACTCTAACTTACACCAGTTCAGGCAGTTCGGCTAAAAAGAACAGACCTCTTGTCGAAGCGTCGTATTCTCGATTCGTTCACACCGTGTGTAGTCGCACTATTGTCGTGACTAATTAGGCAAATTTTCTGCCCCAGATCTGGTGGCGCTTGTGGTCACTGCGGATGCAGACACGCGTGGGGTTACAGTTCAAGTGGATACAGGATGCAGCACCGGAGGACTCGGTTCGGGCCGAGCAAGGGCGGCTCAAAGGTATGCTCAGAGGCATTTGTTTACGTTCACCTCCTTAGACCTGTGTTAATAATTGTCACTTGAAACTTATTTCAAGTGAGACACTCAGGTTTTTATTCAGAGTTAAATGAGAGTTTTTCAATTGTTTTCAACGTGATTACAGGTATGTCGCATGTATCACAATTCAATTGAAAAACTCGGATCTAACTCGAGATGAAGATCTGATTATCTCACATGAAATAAGTTTCAGATGACGGCTATTAATGCGGGCTTTAATTCTACGAGTTATAAACCGAGACATTGCCGTCAGAATGTTTCGGGTTACGGCCACAAACAGTCAGTAAGATTTTATGCGCGTTTGTCCGTTAAACTGAGTCCTCGAATCTGACAATATTGCATTTTTTGTTCCAGATTTCGGAACGTAGCCAGTTCTGAGTTTCGAGCTATTCATTGTGAGTGAGCAAAATGCATGATGAAAATTTATGCTGATGAACGGTTAATAAGTGATAATAATTTGTAAGATTTCGTTAAGAATCAATGCGATTTACATGTAGATTGCACGTGGGCTTTTGCATGTGTGTTTGTATCGTCCTATGAAATGTTTGCTCGAAATAAATGAGGGATCGCTCTTTCTCGAAATGTCTATATCGCGCAGAAGATATTTGCAATATTGAATGTTTAATCACAATATTTGATTTTGATTTTTGGTAAACATGTTTGTATAAATATGAAAATATCGCAAAATGACATTTTATTTGGACATTCCCTTGTATCTGCTTTGAAGTACAATTATTCAACGGAGCTATTTGTTTAGCGCGATTCCACAATGGTTTCGAGCAACGCGCATGAGAATTCGCCAAGACTCTCACAAGATTACGAAGTAATCCTCGCATAAATTCCGAAATCGTCGTGCGTGACTTCACGCCATTCAAATATCGTCCACGTATCACGCATTAATAGATTTCGCGATTTTCCGCATTTAATATTCACGTTGCGATCACTTTGCTCGCGTATCTCAATTCGCGATATTTATTGTCGGTTTCTCTTACACACGCGACTCGCGCTGCTAGTGCATTCAAACGCCACTGTAGCACGTTATTAATTGCCGAAACGGCAATTAATAACGGCAAATGTAAAAGCGGAATATTATCCTTCGTGCTTCTCGCTTTTGCTGAAGTTTTATCGTGATCTTCGGTTCGCGATTCTTTACATACGAATCGATTCTTAACGCACCGCGATAAATCCGAGACAGCACAAATGTCCAAAATCGAGTAATAAGACGTCTTTAGGGTGTCTTTAAGACATCTTTAAGACAATATCTTATAAACTTGTCTTAAAGATATCTTAAAGATGTCTTAAAGACGTCTTATGACCCGATTTTGGACATTGTGCTATCTGGAATGTCAATCAGTCGTTTGCAGATTTTCACTTCATCTCTCGCCGAGAGCAAATTCGTAAATATACCGATCCTAGATCAAAATTTGAATAAATGAAAATTTATTCGCCGTTGTCGCGTTGACGTATTCGCATTAAATGTCGTTATAATGAGAATATCAGTGTCGCGTCGCGAGTGAAGTGCAATCAACGCTTATGTACGACGACACGAAAGGACAACGTCAACAGGGACTGGACTTCCACCAGATGCCAGGAGGATGTAACAAGTTTCGTTGGTCTGACTGGACATCGAGGGACTACAACGCAAAATGGTGAGTAATGAATTTCATCACTCATAGAGTATCATTTCACACATACGGAGAGAATCTTATACACGGAAAAAACAATTCTGTTGGTGCAAACAACCGAATTTTCGGTTGTTCAGACGAAAACTCGACTGTAGGAACAGGAAAATTCCTTCACGAGGCTTCTGTATAATCAATTGTTCTCAGTTGTTTCAACTGAATTCTAATATCGTTGAATGTTCAGACGAATATTTTCGGTTGCGACAACAGAAATATTAGTTTTCATAACAGAGATATCGCTTCTGATCACCTAATTTTCAGTTGATTCCTAATTAGTTGCACCAACTGAAATTTTTTTTGCGTGTAGTAACAATTACTGTGCAGCCAAGGAGTAGATCGACATTATGCAGTAAAGTTCTTATCAGTAATTCTTATTCTATTTTTTCATCTCATATATGTTACTACATATATATTTCATTTTATATATATTTATATATTTTCGGAACTGAAATGTGCTATTAAAACACCTGCTGGATTTCTTTGGCGAAATCTGCTATATTTTTATCATAAACTATTATGTTCCTTAGCAAGGTAGATCCTACTGACAGTATTATTCCTGGACTGCAATCGAGAAACAGAGTAAAATTGAAAAGAATTTCCATGAAAAGAAACTGTAATATTCTCTCCGTGTAATGCGTGCTCAGTCGTAAATCGCATTGACTCCCACTTTGAAAGTGCAGGCAGTTTTACGTTGCCGTTTGAAACTGCAAAAATGCCAACAAAGTCGGTTCCACACAATACAGCCAACGTAAGCCAGCGTTAACGAGTACACTGTATGCCATAAATGTTGGACCGATATAAAAATTCGTCAGTATAAAAATTCGCGCGTTAAAACGATTTAAAAATTTATACGCGCAATTTGTACAATGTCACATTGGTCGACACAGACGTACATTCGTCATATCGTGCTCGCAACCGGCTTAGTTTAAGCCGGCTTAATTTCTATCGAAAGTGTAATATTTTAATGACTTTGCGCGAACCATATTTTCACTTTGTTGCTCTTATTGGAAATATCGACACATCATTAATTATGAATAGGAAACTTAATTATGCATAGGATTTCCAGTGATCGTTCATTCGCGTGACACACGAAGGGCAATTAAGCACGTACCTTGCATTTCCTCCTGTTCGACTTCCTCCTCTTCCTCTTCTTCCACCTCTTCTTCGTCGGACTCAATGTTGAGCCGCACTTTCGTATGCGTATTCATATCCTCGCTTTTCTCCGATCTAAGATTAATGATTATTGTTGAACACATATATGGACGCTTTTCTAGTGAATAATTTCTTATTGCTTCGAACGCAAAATTTCTTATAATTATTTTTTTCTTAAGACGTATGCAAGAAATGTTCGGTTGAATTCACATTAAATTTCTGGTGAAATCTGAACGGGTCAGAAAATTCCGGTTATGAAGTTACCAGAATTCTGTCCAAATCAGCCAGAAACCTTGTCAGCTTAAGCAGAACTCTGGTAACTTCGGGCAAAATTTCTGACTCATTTATACTTCACCAAACATTTGGTTCGTCCAACCAAATCCTTTCTCCTATGTGCCAAAGTGGGGAGGCAAAGAAGTGAATATTTTCAATCATCTCTAAGGCCCAGTTCCACAACTTCCAGTTAACTTAACTAGCTAGTTATTCCATTAGACTTGACCGATCGCATTTGATATTAAGAAGAGTTAACCAATCACTATTGGGACTTAACCGGTAGTTAAAATTAAATGGATGCTATGGAACTTGGCCTAAGAGAATTCGTAATACATATCATAAAGATGTGAAAAAAATGAATATTGCGGGATTTTTTTGTAACAGAATCGGCTTGAGAATCGAGACGTCATCCACAAAGACTCAGAGAATCGATGCTTCACACATCAAACGTATTCTCAATCCTTGAGCCGTATAATTATCGACATTTACAAAGATTGCCGCATATTATCACGATAATAAGCACAAGCGGAGACGCATAATACCGTTCATTGATCTCATTATGGCAATAATGTGTGTCCTTAGTTATAATTTATGTTACGTTATGAGGGAGCTTACGTTTCGGTATCTAGTGCAACCTCGTAATCATCCATTGTCTCATTAGGATCGTGTTCGAGATCAGTACCGGCGCCCTCGTCTTCTCCTCCGGTTCCCTCGCCGCCGTCATCGCCGACTTCACCACTGACTTCGTCCCGCGCCGGCGAACCGCTGTGAGATTTATTTTTCTCGGCCTGCAAAGCAGGAAACAGAGACAGGGGGAGTTACCGCAAGTAGAATATCGTTGAATAATCCGCGCTAAACGACCGTCAGCGATATTAAAGCGCAAGAATAAATGAAAAGCTCAAGGGACGTACTAACGTGGATTATACCGGATAAGGAAAGGATAACAAAGAAATTAAAGCCATCATAACGATTTATTGTACAAAAAAAAATTAAGACGCGGCTATTTCGATTGATTCGACGTCAGAAACATGGAAATGCATGCCCAGAATTCCTGCACGTCGAAGTCAAAAGATATATCCAAAAAACGACATTTGCAATCGATCAATAAACATACATCTCTCAAATACTCCAAACATTTTCCTTTTGTTCTAACAGTCAATAAATAAATATAAAATTAACGTGACAAAATAATGAGAGAATGTAGGTTATATGTCACGTTAATTTTACGGTGAACTTCATTGATTATTCGAGTGAAAGGAAAGTTTTCCGAATATTTCACAAATGTGCTTAATCGATCCTAAGGGTCACTTTATGGATATATCCTTTTGATTTCGTGTTCCACAATAATATTGAATCTGTATTTTCTCGCTTCTGACGTCATTAATCAAGAATTAATGACAAGGGACCAGGAGCTTTAATCAGTTGATTCGACAAACCTATAACTTTGTGAAGAAAATTATGAAGTTAATAACTAAACAAATTCGTTCATGTAGCAAAGAAATTACGCGTAGATCAAAGAAAGCGAAAAAGGCTTATAAGAGCTAATACACAGGTGAAGTACTGAGAAAAAAATTTACTAAATTTCAAAAAACGTTTGTTTGAATACGACTGTGAAAATATTTGTTTAAATAAAGTAATTATTTTCTAAAATTGAATAAAGAAGTTTTAAATATAAATTTCTTTCTTTGATTTTAAAAATAATTACTTAAGGGAAGAACTTCATGTAACTGGTTGGAAAAATTGATTTTTTTTTTTTCACTTCAATCGAATCTTTGTTATATGGAGAATATAATCCTAAAGTTTTAGAGCCCATTTCGAAGTATTAATGGCACTACGGATACGTTTATATCCGCGCCGCGCGCAAGTATAAGAGCCGCCCGTCTTGGCCGGAGCCATTCCGTTTCTCGACTTAATCCCTTTTACACAATAGATTTTAACGTTTCTCAGTGGCCGAGAGGTGCTTGGGAGGACATACACAGAATGCTAATGACAGTCTAAATGCAATGATCTGGCGACTAGCTCCCAAACATTTACATGCTGGCATTAAAATAATAGAAATAGCTGCTTATATATTGCTGCTAGCATATTTAACGAGGGCTATTCTGCAATGCTAAAAATGATGGATGTCTTGGAACTTAAAATTGGCCAGCAATGCAAGATTTACGCCGATTTATTGGACAGCAAGCGATTGAGCAGACAGGAGCGCCAAACTCATAACAGCACAAAGGAGACTCGAACAGCTCGTAAACAGAAAAAAATTGCAGAAAACCAATTTCTCGAGGAAACGGAGGGCCTATTGTATGGAGCTGGAATTGCAGAATAGTCGAAAAGAGCCGTAAGTTTCCAAAAACTGTTATTTATTTGCTTCGTTAATTTTAAACGCGTTTTTCTCAAAACTACTTTTTCGCAACTTGCGTACATCAAAACTCAAAAACTATTCAATCAATTGCGTTGCGTTTATGTGTGCATATACATTATTACCTTTGTAATAGAATAAACCTATATGTAACTAATTTATTTATTTATTTAAACAATTTTTCTTAAACGATTAAAATGAACATTTTCCGTAAAATTTGAACCTTTTCTTCCGTCGTTTATTTTCACTAAATTTCCAATTTTTTTAACAAGTTTAGGTTCATTTCTCGTAATTTTTATTATAAAAAACAAATCTTTTAGGATTTTTGTTGCAGAATTAAAACTAAGATCGCTAGAGTGTACACAAGTTCACCTCGTCAATGATAAAATAGAGGCTTCCGACTTCGACCTCTATTAACCATCAAAATATCCATTGCTATTGTTCAAAGAAAATGTTTTCCAATTCTTTGAGTGTGCATTTAAATATACTAAAAGTTTCAAAAAGATTTATCGAATAGTTTTTTTTTAATCCCTAAAGATTGCCTATTTTTCGGCACATTTACATGGAGTTCTCTCCTTAATTTAAACAAATATGTTCACTGTCGTATCCAAACAAACGTTCTTTTAAATTTAATACATTTTTTTCTCAGTGCAGTGTAATCAAACTAAAACAGAAGCCATTAGAGTATGTATTTCATATTAAATAATTTACACAATACAAAATAATTTATTTATTGCGGCGGTTGTAAGATCGCGCGCGTCGATCAGTAGTGAAAGACGCGTAACGGTCAGACCGCGTCGTTTAATCCAATCGATAGAATATAATTTTGAACTTCAGTTTCATTTATACTACTTTATTACTCGCCGCAGAGTTCCAGCGATGGCGCGATATAAAATTCATGAATGTTCTCTTTAAAAAAAGAAGAAAAAGGGAAAACAAATTATATTTGGAAACAATGGATTAAAAGATTCATCAGCAAACGAGAGTTTCAGCGGCTTAACAACAGTTGGGTCGAACAACAGTTGGATAATATCGGAATACACTGTTTGCCCTTTTCTAATAAATTGAAACTAATTAAATCCCGTAGCTAACATTATTCCGGGACGATTAATGTTATTATTATACAGCGCCCTTCCAGCGAGTTGATAACGCATTTTCACGAGTGCAAGCGTAAATAACGGGGCACAGGTAAATATTTGACTTACGGTTACTATCGCGAAGCGTTTATCGAATTCGCGCCAATCAATTATTATTTCGTTAGCGCAAAATGGAAGTAAAGTCGCGTTTATATGGAAACACGGATGCTCGACGACGTTGGTTTTCACGCGGCGTAAAGTCGAACGAAAGACGAATGCGACAGATGTACTCGCGATAAAAAGTTTGATCCGGCGGAAAGAACGAGATGGAGAGAATAAAGAAGGAGAAAGAGGAGGGAGGAGGGCGGGGGGAACGGTAAACTTCTCTATTGCCGCGATCTCGTGACTTGGAAGTGCGAGCCGGCTGTGCGCAATGTAGCTCGCGTCGGAGGAAGGCGACACACTTCTTTTACCGCTTGTAAAAGAGCCGTCCGTAAACAACAATACGTATCGCACCGTTCGCCGTACGTTCGATCCGTAGTATCGACACATCCTACTTCGTCGCGTAACTTCAGCGCTATTGTCACTGAGAAAAAGCGCGAGTCGTTGGCGAAAGTTACGTATTAATTTACACGTTATGGTAACATCATTTCGCACGCGAAATTACTACGAGGCGAAGTAACGGCCCTGGATTTTGACGTGTAACATTGGACACGCAATACACGTTGAATAAACGCGGTAAAAATTGGGTATATTAAAAAAAATATATACAAAGTATCCTAGACTCTTCTCCGCGATTTTGTGTAGGAAATTCGTATGTTAAAAATGCACATCTAATAAGGATCATAATTTCTCGCATTCAACAGTTTTTCATCAAGCCCGTTCGGTTGTTATGGAGGAAGCATGGTTTAATCAGCTTTTAAACTTTTGCTGTTGCGGCTTTGAACAACTTTACGAGTAAAAGCGCGTTGTTTGCTCCTCATAACTTCATGAATTGCAATATGTAGGCATCTGATAAGGGAAACGGGCGCTTTTCTAATGCCTCTTCGTGTGACACCAGTATTAATTCAGATAATGCTGTATCTCGGCTTATGTTTGCGTGAGAAATGAGATATCCTTGTCGTTATAAACGCAAGAAAATTGTCTTTTCATCGGTGTCTTAATTAAAGGTTCATAGCTGCCCCCGATAAAGGTCACGCTACACTCAAGAAAGTTATATTTTACACTGTAACTTAATGGAGTTATAGTTTTTGGAATTTATGATAATGATGCATATAATATACACGACAGCAGACATCATCACTACAGCTCATTTGATACCATTTGATTACCATATTTGATTACCATATTTGATCGTTCACAAATCTTCTTTAATTAATATCTTGATAATTATTACGAATATCGCAAAACGGTAACTTTTATGTTCACCTTAATCCGCACTATACCTCCACGAGAGCTTCGGAGGTTCTATTCTGAGACACTTTGCATATATATGCAGGTTTGGGAAAGTTACTTTTTGAAAGCAACTCGTTACTGAATCGTATTATCGTTACTGAGTTTATGAGTTACGAGTCCTTACAATTTCCGGCACTTTTATCACTGGCTCTTTGAAAACGCCGTTATCAAATCGTTACTGAACAGGAAGCTGAACAGGAACTTGTAACGGCAAGGACGTTGCAAGCAATATTTTACTTCCCAATCCTGCGTATCCAATATGTGCTCCTTATATAGTAATTTTCGTTACACTCTTTTTTCCTGTATTTTCCGATCAAACTAATATGTCACCGGTATAATGAACTTCGCGCGGTGATATCCCGGTGCGACAATAAACGCGACGCGTAGACGTATCTCACGCGTGTCGATGCGACGTGGCAGAAGGAGAAAATTAGAACGGCATCCTTTTTATCGCCCTTATACGAGCATTAAACACGACACTCATTTATCCCTCACGGAGGGATGAGCGTCGTCTTGTCGTCGTCGTCGTTGTTGTCATGCCTGCAAACTCATTCGAGCGGACTCGCCGTATCCATAATGCGCCTCGTGATACTCACTTGTCGTAAATGCTTCGCGCGCGATGCAAATACGCACTTCGCTCTCCAATGAGAGGCGCGCGCGCGACCAAATCAGCCTGATCGTTCATGGAAATGCGAGAGAAACTGCTCATACAGAAGAGTTCTGTGCGATTCTGAAGCATCAGCAGAATAATGCACTCTTGAATTTATTCGCTTCCTCACGTCAAGACCTTTCTTACGACGAGAAATGATCGATGTTCTCGACGCGGTTCATTAATTTAGTGAAGAGATTATCAAGTGGCGTTCAATAGCAAAGAAAGCCGCTATATAAGAAGCACTTCGGACCGTGTACGTCAGTGTTATTTTGTGTATATGTGTGTACAGAGAGAGAGAGAGAGAGAGAGAGAGAGAGAGTATCTGTGAGAACCATCGTATAAGACTCTAGTAACGTCGATATTTTCGATCATGCTCTGAAAAAGGAGGATTCCGTTATTGGAACGGATATTTGGTACACCGAGCCAAAATTTAGTCGAAATGGGATCCACCAAATGTTTGGTAACCGCAACCAACAAATTTAATTGCCGCTATGTGTACTTTGCTTTCTCAATAATACGTTTTACTTGGCACAAATAAAAACATAATAATGCCAACCTACATCGTATGTAGCACATATTTTAGTTTCAAATACAAAAATAATTTTTCCAGCGTGTAATCGATAGTAATCGATCTTGAAATGTCGAGGGGAAATCATATCGCAATTTTCCCATTTTTAATATTATATATTTTTGTGACCGAGTTTTCCATTAAAATTCTTCTGTAACGTATACTTCACCTGAAATTAGTTGAAAAATGTCGTTTTATTCGTTCGATTCTCTGAAGCTTAGTTTGCGGAAATTCAAGAAGTATGGATACATTTTTTTATTAGATCCTCCGCCTCGAATCCAGCTCGGATATAAATGTGGAACAATGGAATACGCTTAAAGTGCTGTACGACGGTTATACTTTGTACATGTATTCCAAATAATCGCAAAAATTATAACTTTGAAAAATTATAACGTAAATTATAGCTTCTTGAGATGTAGCGTGACTTCGATGTCACACGCGACGGCTATGAATCCTTAATTAAGGAGAGAGAGAGAGAGAAATGATGAAAAGATAAGACTCCTTAATATGAATTTCATTGGCACGAGCGTCGAGACAGGCATCTAATGAAGCGCCGCGATATACATATTAAATTCGCGCGCGCATTACGCCCGCGAAATCATCGGCGATCTAATACATAATGTATCGCGAGTACATTAAAGCGAGACTCACCTCCTCCTCGGCCTCCTTCTCGATGGCAGTCAGGGACTCGGCATCGGCGAGATTGTCGACGGCGATAGCCAAGAACACGTTCAAGAGGATATCTACGTTGCTATCTTCGTCAAGGATCGATTAAAATTTAGATCCGAGCGGGTCGATATCGAACCAAACGCGACAATTATTCATCGGGATGTCACCGCGATGACAAAAGGATACAGTTGCCGCATATAAAGAGGATGATGAAGTAAACGCAGGCGAGCACACCGATGCTGGCGACGCCACCGTAAGCTCGAATCCCGACGTACATCACGGCGTTCCAGTCCTCGCCGGTCAGTATCTGGAAGCGCGGGACGCAAATACACCATATCGCTTTTAGAAACGTGGGAAACGGAAAGGAAAAATAGAAGCGTGAAAACAGCGTGAGGCGCGCGCGCGGAGCCGCTAGTATTTTCGCGATAAATCAAGAATGTAATTTCGCGGGCGCAATTGAACGCACGCGAGCGCGCGCGAAATTGCGCGGCCGCGTCTCCTCTATTTTCTGCTTTTTTCCCCTCCTCCCGCCTGTGCGCGCGGAACGACGGGACGAGATACCTGAAACACGGTGAGCAAGCTTTGCCAAAAGCTGTCAAAGTTGTGACGCGTCTTCTCCTCCGTATCGCTGAAATTGAACTTTCCACCGAAGACCTATTTGAGGAAGAAACGTTTGAAGAATAAATGAGTCGCGTTCTCGCGTGATGATCGGCCGCGTGTCTGATTGCACCGGCGTTCAATCTACCTGCATGCCCAGAAGAGCGAAGATGACGATGAAAAGGAAAAGTAGGAGCAACAGGGAGGCGATCGATTGTATCGAGTTCAGTAAGGAGGCCACCAGATTCGACAGTGATCTCCAATATCTGCAACAAACAGGCAAACGCGGCTCGCGTGTATTCTACGACTGTCAACACATTTCGTACATTCCCCTTCGGGGAATACTTTGTATCCGTTGTAATAAAAGAGGGAGTGATATCATATACGGTAGAGGCTGATTACGTAAGTTCAGTGAGAGCACACTGGAAGGTGACTCTGGCGACGGGTCTGGAGAGAATTTTGACTCGCGGAGAGATTGGAGTCTGGTTGGATCTGTCATACTCACTTTGTTACTTTGAATACCCTGAGCAGCCGGACGCAACGGAGTACGGAAACGCCAAGAGGCGGCATCACATGTGTATTTGTAAAGATCATCTCGCTGATCGAGCCGATCACGACGAAGCAATCGAAGCGATTGAACAGCGAGACGAAGTAACCCTGCGAAGTAAACGATGATGCCTGAAGGTCGCAGTCGTTCGCTTGAAAAAATACGTGCATCTCTTTCTATTAACCCTTACAGTCCGGCCGGTTTCTTTGCCTGACTTTTACATTGAACTAAAATCTTTTTATACACATCAAAGGATAGACTAGTAAAAAAGCCCATGCCGCGCCATTACAATAACTTCCCAGATCGTACTGTAACTATTTTTCCAAATTGATTCTTTTTATTTAATCATACAAAAACCTTTTCTTGTATTAGAAGTCATGGAAAAACTAATTTACTTATTTTTGGCAAGAAATTATACAAATATGTAATATGATAATGAGACAGGCTCTCGTGCAAAATATAAAACAAAATGTCTATTATTATTTGCATAAATTTCAAAGTATATTAACATTAACAATTTGCATGGTATAAATATATTTGTGTACTTATTGCATTGTTCTTTGCTTATTTAAATAATTTTTGAAGTTTCTAAATTTTTTAAGTTATTCTTTTTTGCTAATCTAGAAAAAGTTAATAATAATAATAATAAAATAATTGTTGATGTGTTCCACAAAATTGCTGCCACGCCTCTACAGTGGCTTTCCGGGTTGTAAGGGTTAAGGGACTGTAATTGCACAATGCACAAATTCATGGCTTCTGACATGTATGCTGACCGACATGTTGCAGGCAGCTCAGTTTACTGCGTATATCTTCCAATGCATGATAGCGGTTCATGTAGTGAATTGAACTGCCTGAAGCCTGTCGACCAGCGTGCACGTCAGAAGACGTGAAATCGACCATCGACTGTGGTTCTAGCTCTAACGCTGTCGATATAAACAGAGTATTTCTACACCCGGGCTATTCAAACGACGCGATAATTGTTCGCTCACCTGAAAGCCTAAACTGTACATCTTCAGCATCATCTCCATGGAGAACAGCACGATGAAAAACTTATTCGTGATATCTGCGCAGAAAAGAGGGTAGTTTCGCTTTACGTGACGCACATTACCAGAGGCGCCAGGACGACTTATAATTAAAAGCAAACACGGGTCTCGAACGAGTCGACTTTATTTCCGCTAACCAGCAGCCAACGGTATTTACCTTGAAAGTCGTCCAACCAGTGCGGCTGATCGTAGTGCTCCGTGGCGAGAACGCCGGTATTCAAGAAAACCAGAACTATGATGAGCCAATAGAAGACCTGAGACTTCACGGCTTTCCTGCAGGCTCGCCTCATCCGTCTGTTCACTCTGCGAATTTTCGCGGCACAATGCCGCGTACAGTATAAACACCACACTCGCTCGTACACAGAATGCTTACCGGCTCTTTGTCGGATAGATGACTCTTTGATCTCTAGCAGCGCTCATTTCCCATGCAAACGCGGAAAAAAATATGACGGTTTTCCCAGCTACAAAGAATTCGCGGAAATCTCTCTTGCGGAAACTTATTACCGCGCGTAAATGTCCGTTGCGGTCGTCGAACGCGCGAAATTGTCGTACAGAAAATTATAATCTCATTTTTAGTGGGATCCTCTGAAAGAGAGAGAGAGAGAGAAAGAGAGAGAGAAATGTTACAATCTCAAGAGGATTTTAAAACCAAACGCCAAGAAAGAAAGAGATCTCCAGTTGCAAGGTGTTATTTCCCGTAATCCCATATTCCAAGAGGAAATTTTCACCGAAAAAGAAAATTTCTCTTCTAATGAAGAGAAACAACATTGCGCTTACAATATTTTCTTTTTGATTCTTAAGAGACCATATACAGGGTGTTCAGTAACTGATCGAGCAACCGTCGTGTTGAATAGAACGAGTCAAAGTAATATCATAGAAGTTATATACCATTTTGAAATTTTCTCAATATTTATTCCGTAATTAATTAAGTTAATTAAATTAATTAATTAAATTAATTAAAGTGTATAAACGAATGAGCTCACGAGATGCGGTAGGACAGGCTCTGTGTGTAAAAGAAACAGCTTACCTCTTAGCAACGATAAGTAAACAGCTGATTTCGAGGCGAAGTAACGTATACATGTCGCTTGTTACTCTGTCTCGAAATCAGCTGTTTACTCATCGTTGCTAAGAGGTAAGCCATTTCTTTTATACACAGAGCCCGTCCTACCGCTTCTCGTGAGCTCATTCGTTTATACATTTTAATTAATTACGGAATAAATATTGAGAAAATTTCAAAATGGTATATAACTTTTATGATATTATTTTGACCCGTTCTACCCATACACGGCGGTTGCTCGATCAGTTACCGGACACCCTGTATATAAGAAGAATCCTCTTAAGGCCATATATACGAGAATCCCTTTAAATTATATCTTTTTAAGTTTATGATACTCTGTACGAGCACACATTACTTTAAAGGAAAAATATCGAAAGATTGGATTGAAACTTCATCCTTTTCTTTATCTCCTTACCTATCCAAATCTCTCTTTTTCTTCTTCCATATGGACTCTTGTTGGATACCCTCCTCATCGCCCTCCAACTGGTCTGTGCTCTCCATTTCGTTTTGTTGCTTGGCTATGTAATATTCAACGTTGAAACTCAGTCAATTAATTAGCATACTTCGGCTAGAATAATATTCAGCCTGAAGAGAGAGGGAGAGAGAGAGAGAGAGAGAGAGAGAGAGAGAGAGAGAGAGAGAAAGTTATTTCAACTCGCGGGAGATTGGGTTTAATGTAACTTCCCGAATTTAATTTGCGCGCTTCTCTCTGTGCGCTTTTGCACTAATGCGCGATATTTGGGAAGATCGCGCAAATAAATGGAATTTATTTCCCTTGATGTGAAATTAAATATCCCGCGGACAAACGTGTAATTACGCCCTCGTCGCTTTCATAAAGCGTTTGGAAAATCACTGAGCGACTGTAGCTCAGATGAGCTGCTATTAATGCGAAACGCGGATACATCGAATTGCCCGACACGAGCTTATCTCGCGCGTTGCGCACTTTTTATTTCGAGGGTCCGAAAATTGAATTTCAAATTGAGGAAGAGAGCGCGGGGCCCCTTCGTTGCATACATACATTTTCCGTCCTGCATCTTCGGCTCGTCGGTCTCCGGCTCGATGTCCTCCGCCTGCGTTATCCAGTCGAGATAGCCCCTAAGATCGTCCTCGATCTGCTGTTTCTCCCTGAGCTTGTGAAAGTCGCCTCGCGCCTTTGCCTTCTCTCTCTCCTTGGAGAACTCACTGCACCGGGGAGGGGGGGAGGGGCAGCAGAACGGAGTGCATGTCGTCGCGTTCGTGATTAGAGGTGCGCGCGACGCGCGTAATTGGAACATTCAAAGGTGCGATGAGACAGAAGTCGTGAAGCGCGTGAAAAGAGAGTCCGCTTTATTTGCAACGCGCCGCACGGAGCGCGCTCTCTCTCTCTCCCTCGTCTCGCGACCGAACGAGCGAGAAAGAACGCGACACGACGCGCTGTAAATGCGTCTATATACGTGTGTCGAGGGAAACATCGAGTGAAACGTGACGACGACGACGACGATGACGTTTCTCGTTCACAATCTCCTCTCTTTCACACGGCAAGCAGAAAAGAACCAGCGATCCGCGCCACCAAGGATCCAATTATCCGGGGTGTAACGCTTTTTCTTTTTATGAAAGCGCGTTCCGATGAAAAATTCCTTCCACAGTCGTCGTCCCGCCTCCTCAAGACGCGAATTTTAATATGAAAGACTCCATTCAATCGAAACGAAGAAAGTTTCTCAATCAAGCAACTAGTCGGGGCTATTTTTGCAGTGTAATTTTTATTCATCTCCGATTTTTTTTTTTCTTTATTTTTCTTTTTCTTTTTCTGAATAGTTTGAAGGAATCGAGGAATATATACAAGAGTCTCCGGTAACTGATCGAGCAACCGCCGTGTACGGGTCAAAATAATCATAAAAGTTATATACCATTTTGAAATTTTCTCAATATTTATTCCGTAATTAATTAAAATGTATAAACGAATGAGCTCACGAGAAGCAGTAGGACGGGCTCTGTGTGTAAAAGAAATGGCTTATCTCTTAGCATAAGTAAACGATAAGTAAACAGCTGATTTCGAGGCGGAGTAACGTATACGTGTCGCTTGTTACTCCGCCTCGAAATTAGCTGTCTACTTATCGTTGCTAAGAGATAAGCCATTTCTTTTACACACAGAGCCTGTCCTACCGCTTCTCGTGAGCTCATTCGTTTATACATTTTAATTAATTACGAGATAAATATTGAGAAAATTTCAAAATGGTATATAACTTTTATGATATTATTTTGACCCGTTCTACACGGCGGTTGCTCAATCAGTTACCGGACACCCTGTATATATACGCATTCTCCTGACACTTCGTGCTCGATGATCAACGAACGATTCCTTCGAAACGCGTGTTTCGGATATTTATCTCGTAGCGCTGTCGCTAACGAGATGTTTGCGCGCTTGGCGTTAAGCGACGTCGTTAAAACGTAAAAAGAGAAGAGAGTTAAACGTGCTTATCATCAATATCGTTTTATCACGCCTCGATTAGCCACGCATCCTTTGCCGATACGCAACGGAGTGTGTGTGTGTGTGTGTGTGTATGTGTATATGTATGTGCGTGCGCGTTAGCCTAAGAAAAAGATATTTTTATCTCGCCCCCTTATCGAGAATTGCAAAACTCCGCGTGGATAGATGTCGTCGATTGAGCGAGTTATTTTCTCTCAAATGATCATTTTAAGAATCGCGAGAAACGATCGTCCTGAATACACACCACGTCAATGTCGGTTTACAAATTCATACACGGAAAAAACAATTCTCAACCGAATTTTCGGTTGCTCAGAGATCAGACGAAAACTCGGCTGTACACGCAAAAAAAGAACTAGCTTCCAGAGTTAAAAAATAGCTGTAGCAGATAAGATGTGTCATTGAAATGTCGATACTACCGAAGCTAAATTTATTCACTGTTTAAACTTAGGCGCTACGAGAAATATTAGCTGCTAGAAACAAATGACTGTAGCAAATGATTGTAGCTGTGCGGCAAACTTCTTTAATATATGCATACGATAAGGAATAACTGCCATTTTCTTAGCTATTTGAAATAATGTGCATTTTTAATGTCACCTAATATATTTGTATTTCACAGCGAATGCATTTTAGCTGTCATAGCCAATTCTTAGCAGTGACAGCTAAACGATTAGCCTTTTGGCTAAGTTTGAATCAGCTACCGCGGTTTAGCTGATATTATTAAGTCATTTTTTTGCGTGTAGGAACAGAAAAATTCCTTTATGAGGCTTCTGTATAATCAATTGTTCTCAATTGTCTCAACCGAGTTCTAATATCGTTGAATGTTCAGACGAATATTTTCGATTGTGACAACAGAAATATTAGTTTTCATAACAGAGATATCGCTTCTGATCACCTAATTTTCAGTTGGTTCCTATTTAGTTGCACCAACTGAAATTTTTTGCGTCTACGAAATACACGAGAGATATTAAATCTGTTGCTCAAAAATGTCTGACAACATTGGGTTGATCAAAAGAGCAAGAAAAAGGACAGCCACACACCAGAATTTATTCTTTCGCGATGAAAGTGGTTCACGGGAAAAAACTTCTGTCGACACTTACCCGGACAACACACCGAGAATTAGATTCATCACGAAGAAAGCCCCGAGGATGACCATCGAAATGAAGTATATCCACTGCCACGAGCTCCCCATCGCATCCTCGATCTGCGGGCGCAGGACAAAACTCGATTATGGAAATCGTCTAGCCCCTCGAACAATCAATGATTTCGTTCGATGAACGAGAACTCGAAGAAACAGTTAATTGTGGCGCCATGCGACGCAATTTTGATGCAACATAATAATGTGTTCTTTCAATGATGCAATACACGAAATAATGTGGGCCAAATAAGCGCGCCACAAACTTTAAACACATTATCCGTATAGAAAGTTCTTTGGAATCTAATCGAGGTTCAGTTTGATGTCCTATAAAATTATGGACTCTGGTTGGAGAGTTTGCGCTGAGTCAAATTGAAAGAGCAATGCTTCAAACATCGTGAATCCAAGTGGGAAATCCGAACAAACTCCTCGTTCTACCCAACGTTTTCCCAAAGAACTATCTTGACCTTTATTTTAGATTAAAAATAAACAGTACGTATGACACAGAGTACTCACACTTTTCAAATATAAATATTTAGAAATTATGAATATTCAAAATGTTAACAAAATTTTTTATTTTATTTAATTTTTGTTTCTATTGATTTTTCAATAATTGGTCTAAAAATAGGAATGTTTTGTTCAATCCCATACAAAACTGTTATTCACAAAAAACACGCGAATCTCCAGAACATTCTCGTTTCAATATCAGTCTCATTTCCGAAACTCCTAATTGGTATCGCGATAGAAGAACAAATCTGGGCGTTCTGATCGAAATAGGAAATGAAGTATCTCGGAGAACGTTGCTGTATCTCGGAAAGTGTCGAGAAACTTCTGTAAACGGGCGGTAATCGTATTATTGTGAAACTATAGAAGTAGGTGAGCCGCAGAAGTAGGTGAGCGAGGCGATATCAATTACGCATGATACATGATGAGTTCTCGTTACACAATAGGAGTGTGATCGAACGAAATCAATGCTGATTCATTCCGAGCGAGTCGAGCAAAAGCGCGACGGCCGGGTTACTTTACATTGTAAAGCACGTCCGTCCAGCCTTCGAGGGTGACGCATTGGAAGACCGTGAGCATGGCCAGCCCGAAATTGTCGAAATTCGTGATGCCATAATTGGGACCTTCCCAGAACTGCTTGCTGCAGTAGTACTCGGGCCCGATCTGAGAGCATTGAAAGCCCCCCGGGCCGCAAGGTACGGGTTCGTCCATTATCTCGTCTGCGATATAAAGGAAAATCAAATTTTTAATCCCGGCATAACAAAGGCAGCAGCGACGACGACGGCGTAATGAGGTCGGCTCTATAGCGGTCCGCGCTGAAAGTTCTAATTGGTTCGAGCCAGCCGCGAACGAACTTCAACATGTCGTAACATCCCGTTAAAACGTTTGCATATTTTTTTCTATGCGCGGTGCGCGCAATGGCGACTTCTTTGCTCCGCTAACGCGACTTATCGACCTGTCTGTTTCGCGTTTCTCTGGCACATTACGGATCGATTAAGAGGACGTTTTGTTAACATCGTATTAACAAAACAGTACGTATGACACAGAGTACTCACACTTTTCAAATATAAATATTTAGAAATTATGAATAAATATTCAAAATGTAAATTATGAATAAATATTCAAAATTATGAATAAATATTCAAAATGTTAACAAAATTTTTTATTTTATTTTCTTTTTTTCTATTGAATTTTCAATAATTAGTCTAAAAGTAGGAATGTTTTGTTCAATCCCATACAAAATTGTTATTCACAAAAAACGCGCGAATCTCCAGAACGTTCTCGTTTCAACACCAGTCTCATTTCTGAAACTCCTAATTGATATCGCGATAGAAGAACAAATCTGGGCATTCTGATCGAAATAGGATATAGTACCGGCTGAAACCGTCCAACGCGACAAATCTTGATCCCTTATCGAATTGTGTTGAAAAGTAGAAGGAAAACCGATGTATTTATCGACTCATTCTTAGTTATCATATTAACAGAACGCAAACGCAGAACGGAGAAATGTGAAACGGTTGCATTAATAATTTATTCATGCGATTAATTATTAAAAAGATTTAATAGGTTATCGAGGTAAAAGAGCCGATCAGCGGAAACTGTAATTGGCTGAAATAATATTCAATCGTTTCACCTTTCAACGAAATCTCTCGAAAATTTTCTGAAATTTTCGCGCCGAAAATGCGATTATTTCCGATTGATTATTTCCAAGTGATATTCACAGAACATAAACATAAAACGGATGAGCGATTATCATTTAGTCAATGTGAATTAATAATATATATATAATAAATTAATAGATTCCCGAGATATATCTCAGTCGATTTGCAGAGAAATCAATTTTAATCAGTCGAAATAATTTTTAATCGAAACAGAGTACACTTTCCAAATCCAATCTTAAAATTTTTTTTCTTGAAATAACGATGCAGTTATTTCTAATTGCTCGAGTACACTTGGCCATAATTACGCAAGAATAATTTAATCCATATGTAATACACGCGTTTCGAGAAAAGTGAAAATGTAAATTTTTGTAATACAATAATTCACAAAAAGTATAGATAACATTGAGGTTCTTCGCAATCGTTCAAGAAGTCAGGCATGGCCAATTTTCTTCTCTTTAAGAGTAATACAGAAAAATACATACTGCAGTTGAGTAAATGTTATATGTTTCAAATATTTCATGAGCTTATATATATTCGCAAATCCATTATAAGAGCTTATCATAAGCACATCGAATTTTCTCAAAATATATTCTGAAAATTCTAGCAAGTTTAACATTTTAATTAGGAATATTAAATCAAAACAAAAATTCAGTTTACTTACTACATAGTGAAACCTACTTTTTCTTCGATAAAGAGTTTTAAAATATTTTTACAAACAGTATAAATTCTACTTTCGGATCTACGATAAAATGAGTTTTTTTCAGATGTGTGATGAGTATATCTCAAAATTATCAAGGAAATATTCTTTGTCGAAAATAACCATTACTTAAAAGAAGGAAAGTAAACTGAGTAATTGTTTTTCTTGGCATAGAGTAGAATGATATTTCTCGCTGTGTTCTTGACAAGCTTAATCCTTTAAAAAAAGATAAAAAAGATGCAAGAAATGGTGCAACCATTTCTTCTTCTTTTTTATTAATCATTTCTTCTTCTTCTTTATTAACCAATTGTTCTTCTTTTTTATTAACTTTAGGCGCCCACAAGGCTTGAACGTTTTTTATTGTTATAATAGTCTCACGCAGAAAGAGACGTATGGACTACCTACTGGTGGTCGAAAACTTCAGGGATATAATTTTGTGAGTTGGATCATTTCTGTATAACTGTGGCCAATTAAGCTTGTAGGAGGTACGTGTAAAGATGTCCCGAGATATCCGGTTTTAGAGAGCTAGCGCCTAGAGAGTTGTAACTCTTCTGTCGGCGGGGGCGGTGCGAGGCGGTCGGTGCATGTAGTTCGCGTCTGGTCGCGTCTCCCAGAGAGCCTTTGTATCGCCCGGGCCCGACGCGCACACGCTATTTTACGCATTCCCGTGGATCAGCTGTTCGCCGAACGGCACACGCGCTCGCGCGCGCCGCCCCTCGCGCTAATAATAATTAGACGTTAGTTTCGCGCCGGTTGAATCATATCTAAAATAGCCGCCCCGGCGGAAAGTGTGTTTCGAGGCTAAGCTGGGAGTTCCCTCGGGGCCCTCCGCCAAATTCTCCTCCCCCCTGTCGCTATTCCACGTTGAATTCACGGGATGACCCCTACTAAGAGCATCCCGCGATTTCTGAATTATTCAAGCGGCCCCGCAACATTTCGCATCTCCGTCCTCACTAATTTTTTATGGCCTCGCCCCGTCTCGCCTCACCTCGCCTTGCCTCGCCTCACCGCGGCGGACGAAGAGTTCGAGCGTAGATAAATTCCTCGGACATTAAGACGTATGCACTGAGAAAAATCCCTCGTTCGTCATAACAAAAGCACGTTCACTGTGTAATGATAATCAGGAAAACAGGTCGAACAGTTATCGTTGCAAATCATTTCTCATCATTTGTCATTTCAACAAACATTGTCTGAGATGCAAATCACGTTTGTTTTCGTCTACTTAAGTCAGGTTAGTTATTTATCTTCGCTCCTCCGAGCCTAATTGGCTATAATTATGCAGGAATGATTCAAGTGGCAAAATTGATTTTTTGTTTTACCAACGGGTAGTCCATACGTCTTCCTGCATAAAACAAAAAATATCCAAGCCTTGTGGGCATCCAAAATTAACTAGAAAAAAACAGTTTTATTTTCTACCAATTGCAACTTTTTACCCATTTTTTAAGAGTTAAGTTTGTCAATGAATACACATCCAAAATTAACTAAAAAAACAGTTTTATTTTCTACCAATTGCAACTTTTTACCCATTTTTTAAGAGTTAAGTTTGTCAATGAATACACATCCAAAATTAACTAAAAAAACAGTTTTATTTTCTACCAATTGCAACTTTTTACCCATTTTTTAAGAGTTAAGCTTGTCAATGAATGCACTTGGAGAGAACAAAACTGATCATGCTTGATTTCTTAAACGATTGCGAAGGACCTCAATGCTATCTGTATTTTTTGAGTTCATGTTTCCATTACAGAAGCATTACTTAGAGCAGCAAATTGAAAGTGACGAATCATTTGTTCCCACTACGACGGCATGATTTGTCCGTGTTACATCAACGAATCAATTGTTGCGGGTTCTAGTATGTTATTAGCAAAATTTTCTTTTAATGCATCGATGCAGCGCTCGAGTCTTGGGATTCTCGCCGCGAATCGACTTTAACTTCGAACGAGCGTCTTCTCAATAGATTTCTATTTATCTGACTGGAATCATGTTTGTGGCAATTAATTAGGGAGAAAGACAGGAGGCTACGTAGAGTTTCACATAGGTAGATGTTCACCTCCGAGGTTAATTTCGGGTCGAGCGTTCATGAGAAGTCCGACAGATCAGCGTGGTCCGGTGAATTTTTAACTGATTCGTCAGACAAATGTGACTAATGCGAAACCGTTAGAATAGAGTTTTCCCCTCAGCGGTGGGAGTCGGTGTGTGTGCCAGAGATTCCGAATGCAAAATTTAATAAATCCGAGAACGTCCGCATCGACCCGACGTGTCTGCCGCGCGAGAACAACGCCGTTGCCAAAAGTGTCGTTCGTGAAATTTTTATCGGGCGCACGCAACGTGCCTGGAACGTGCACTTACCAGTTATATTGTGCCTGCAAGTTTTGTGCATCTTCCCGGAGAACAGCTCGAGGCCGATGATGGCGTAAATGATGATGACGAAAAGAACTAATAAAGCGATGTGCAAAAGTGGTATCATCGCCCTCAAAATTGAATTCAGGACCACCTGAAGACCTGCGCGTATTTATTAGTTATTATTAAGATGCACGTAAGATTATCACTAATATTCTAGTAGACTTTAATAAAGAAATAATTTTTCTTCCCCATAATAATTAATAAAGAAATAGTTTTTCTTCCCCATACTTTATAGTAACTATTTCTCTATATAAATTCAGCTACATATATGAAATATTTTTTCCTCGGTGCAAATATCCTTTTCTTTTCTCAATAAAGAATGCCATATAGCGGTGCCATTCGAAATTTCTCATCAAACTTGAAAAGCTCTACACCACATCGTCCCTTTTTAAATTTAAACATCAACTGTTGGTCTCTCTCTCTCTCTCTCTCCCCTCTATGGAAAAATTCCGAATGGCGTCGCTACGGCGCCTTTGGGGCACGAAAGATCAAGATCTGCAAACACTTTAACAATACTCTTCGATAACACAACAACAACAACAACAAGACTATGGTCTGTGCTGACGCCTCATACGTAAATCGCTTCCAAATTCAGTTAACTCTTAGTAGGATTCTTAGTAGGACGCTTCTTTCGCACGTAAGCGACATTATTCGCGACGAAATCGATATTTCGGGCAAAGTGTCTTACTTGGAACACCGGAGACCAGCCTGAGAGGACGCAGAACACGAAACGCCCTTAGGGCTTTGACGTCGAAACCCTCCTTCATGAGTATCGTCAGCACGGTGCTCACCATACTGAAACGAAAAGGGCGGCGAATTTCTTTTTTTTTTCGTTTGTCTCTTTTTGTGTATCAGATAAATGAGAATTAATGACTTATGATCTATGATCAAATGGAGACACGGCAAAGAAGGGCGAAAGCCACCACCCGAGGAATAAATCGTTCCTGAGGGAAAGATTTATGTGCCGCGGCTAACGGCATTATAAACGCTGTCATTTATGAAAACATTTACGAGCTAAGCGGGCTAAGCCATTTATGAAAAAAAGAAAAAAGAAAAGCAAAATACAAAAAAAGTGTGCAGTGACGCATGATGAATTTTTCCAGAGCGATAAAATATCTTTGTCCTGCAAAAAGATCTTTTCTAAAGTCTCTTCCCACTTTTTGGTTGTGGCTTCTCTGTGTCCACCTTTCCGTGAGCGACGACGTCGTTCACGTCGTGGGCGCTCGACAAGCGCGACGTCGTCGCCGATCGGCCGGCGACCAGGAAGCAAGGAAACGATCTCCGCTCCGATGAGACAGTTTCGAGTGTCACCAACGGCTGCACTTGCCTCGCACGTAGGCTCCTATTTAGGTTAGGCGTTATTTGAATAATGGCCACGCGTAATGGCCGGCTCGAGGGACACGGATGTTCCCTCCCGCGGGACATTAAGACGGATCGATTCTCGTGTCGTTAACCGAGAGCGATAAAGTTATCAAGAGGCGGCAGAGCGGGATGGAAGTCGAGCGTCGCGTACTGAAACAGTTACATTTGTGTCGATCCGCATTGTCATCGCGTGCGGCTCCGCGAATGGAGAGATCTCGTTGATTCGCCGCTCGCAAAAGTCAATTCGCCGTCGCCACCGGAGGGCGACGCCGACGATCGCGGATCATTAACCGGGAAAACAGCAGCGGGGGCTCGGCCGACATGCTCTGTTTGTCAAGTTCTCCAGCATTTTATACACTGTGCAACGTATACGCACGTGTACGCGCGCGCGGCTCTCCTCTCTCGTTCCCTTTATTCCTGCAAAAATCGATGATCGCGTAAATAGGCTACCATTATTTACGTCGTGTGTAGGGCGCGCGCCGGGTATCGCGATAATAGATGCACATAGGGGTCGTGTATCGAGACCGCGCGGTGTGTCCAGACGGATTATAATAGCGGATATTCTCCGCCCGAAGGGAGAGAGACAGAACGAGGACTAGAGATAGATAGATAGATAGAGAGAGAGAGAGAGAGAGAACGTTGTAATCACGCTTGGCGATTCTCAATGCTGACCTCCGCCGATCTTGCACGCGAAGCAACACCCAAGTAGAACAACAAATCACGATGACGTCAAAGCGATGTCAAAATGACGGGAAAACAACCGAAACACCCGCTTTTCAATCACAATTCGATCATTTTCCCGTCATTTTGGCGCCATTGCGATTTTCCGTTCTATTATACTTGGGGCGTCGACATGTCCGACTGTTTTCCCGGGGAATATCCCCAAGTCGAAATTTTGATCCTATATTGAACCTTGAATTCTACACCGCAATAGGAGCTAATATAGCAAAGTAGGTTTAATTCTAATGATATAATTTACTCCTACTTTGATCCTGATAATGTCTGAAATTTCCGCTTTCGTTTGCTTTTGCGTCAAGGTTGTATAACAGTAGGATCTTAGAAAGTAAAGTAGATTCAGTTGCAAACCTCTATTAAAGCTTTAGCTCTTACATAGAATATATGTATTTTATAGAATTCAAGGTTCAACATAGGATCAAAATTTCGACTCGGAAATGAGTGTCAATATCGTCAAAATAGGTTTCACCTAGGTTGTAGATTATCGAAGTAGGCTCAAATTATTTTTAAGAGCATCAAAGTAGCGTCAAAATTTTGACAAGGTAGAGTTAAAGATTCAAAAGAGAAGTTAATGAGTATCAATATCGTCAAAGTAGATTTTACCTAGGCTATAAACCGCCTAAGTAGGCGCAAACTATCGCGTTATCGAAGCTATCCTTAAGAACGTTAAAGTAGCATCAAAATTTCCCCCGGGGTCAAGACCCATGACGATCTCGCATCAAAGAGTGAAACAAGGAGAGAGACAGCGCGCTGCGAGCGAATAAAATAATCGCGAGCTTGATCTCGGCGCGTGAAACCGCCCAATTTGTAAGGCATTAATTGCGGCGGAGTCGGGAATAATCGGCGCGCGCCACCGCGTGAAAAGGACGATTGAAGCAGACCCGTGCGGCGGCATTATCGACTTAAACGGCTCTCATGAAATTTCAATTCCCGATCGCGCGAACGCCAGCACCGTGTCACAGCTATGTTATACATGGCTGAGTTTCATTTGCACGCATGAGCCGAGACATTACGTCGACGATCGGCCGAGTTGCACGCGGTATTAGGCCCGATCTACAATAGATGGAGTAAGGAATAGGAGTAGGAGTAAGACGAAATGGAAATAAAGCGTCGTCTACAATATGCGGAGTAAGCTTGGAGTAAGAAGTAAGCCGTAAGAATTAACCAATATACCAATTAACCAATTATTTTTATAATAATCGTCTATGATTGGTTAATTCTTACGGCTTACTTCTTACTCCAAGCTTACTTCGCATATTGTAGACGACACTTAATTATTTCGCTTACTCCCTTACTCCTTATAAAAGTTTGCCCGTATACATCACATGGAGTAAACCTGAATTAAGTAGTAAGAGCTAAAGTAAGGAGCTGGAGTAAGGGAGTAAGCGAAATAAATTATTTCCACTTCGTCTTACTTCTACTCCTACTTCTTACTCCATCTACTAATAGATCGGGCCTTATCGTTAACTGATTTTCGCGCGAGTCCCTCACGGAAAAGCCCCCTACGTTATTCGATCGACCGCCGTTTTGCCGTGCCGACGAGGAGATTTTCGACGAATTATTTCCTGCGCTCTTCGTCCCGTCTGTTTATCCCTTCAATCTATTCTTCCTTCCTTCCTTCCTTCCTTCCTGCCGCGCCGCCTTCGTTTCGCGCCCCAATTTCATTTTATTTACGCTTCGCGAAATATCGAGCCGACCGCGAATGAGCTGCGCACTTAAATCCATTTTATTTCGCTCCTGGACATTCGCGCGCACGTTGTTTTTATTACAAAATAAATACACGTCGCTGCCGTGTTCGTAGCCACGCTTTCGCTCGACGATTCCTAACTCGCATCAGTCGGCGCGCCGTGCATTGCCCCGAAGGAAAAGGGCGGTATTTTTAACAGACATAGACACGAAAATACGGAAACGCAATAAAACACCGGAAAGAGCGACTCTCTTTAGGTATTTCCGCGTGCAATCGGTGCGCGACGAGGCGGCGAATCTCTCGCGGGCGAGTAAAATCGTTCCGGTGACCTGTGAGACTCACATTTTAACTCTTACAAGTGCTAAGCTCCTCCAGAGGCTCTCCACGTGGTCGCGAGAAATAGCGCAGCGACTTACCGTCGCGCTTCGTAACATCAAATCATCTAACGTTTCCCTACATATTTATTCGTAATCATCTACGCTCATTGTCTTTTTTCATTCTTGTATTTATCGAAAAAATTAATATGCCTTCATTAAATTTACTTGGTAACATCGAATTATCTCACGGTCCGCAGTATATTTATCCGTCATAAATTATCTACACATATTGTCTTTTTTCGTATTTATATGTATTGAAAAAAAATAATATGTGGCCCCCTTTCCCGAGTCGAAATTTTTACCCTATGTTGAGCCTTGAATTCTACACCACAGTAGGAGCTAAGATAGCAAAGTAGATTTAATTCTAATGATATAATTTACTCCTATTTTGACCCTGATGATGTCTGAAATTTCCGTTTTCGCTTTCTTTATTGTCAAAATAGGTTATATAATCTAAGTATAGTCAAAATAGGATTTTAGGAAGCAAAGTAGGCTCAGTTGCGAACTTCTATTGAAGCTGTAGCTTCTATATAGGATATATGTATTATAAAATACATATATAGAATTCAAGATTCAACATAGAATCAAAATATCAACTCGGAAATGAGTGTCAATATCGTCAAAATATATTTCACCTAGATTGTAGATTATCTAAGTAGGTTCAAACTATTTTTATGAGCGTCAAAGTAGTGACAAAATTTTGACAAGGTTAAAGGTTCAAAAGAGAAGTTAATGAATATCAATATCGTCCAAGTAGGTTTTACTTAAGCTATAAACAGTCTAAGTAGGCGCAAACTATCCTTAATCGGTTCACTAATGAACTTGGAACCAACGTTTCGTGCCAAAACTGGTGAGAACAAAAAATTCCGCATTTTACATGAAAGCTTATTTAATAAGGAGTTTTTTGGGTAACTGATTACGTATTCGAGGTCAAATTTGTCCCGTTACCGGTACTTTTACCCTATGCACACAAAACTAATATCCTTTATATCGTTTATTATATTTCCAGGGTCAAATTTTCTCTAAAGTCAATTCCGAATATATTTTTATATTGTTTCATTTTATAATTTATAATATAAAATTCATAATATTTTACTAGCTCTCTCTAATAACCCATACAGCACAAAATCTCTTGGAGATTTCCTGAGGACGTAGGAACGTCCTCACGACGTTCTTAGGACATACTCTGAACGTCTCCTGGACGTCAATTTGTGCTGTTAGGGAACGGAGTATCTATGGAATCATATCGAATATCATACCGAGTTTGTTCTGTATCTGTAATGGAATGTCAAAGTTAGTCACTTGAAATCTCCATATTGGATTCGTCATTTTAAATTTCTCAAATTTGACCTCGGATTCTTAATCAGCGATCCAAAAAACATGAGGGTAACAAGTTTCATGCAAATCCGTTTAAAACTAGCGGAGATGTACAGCGAACACATACAGGGTTGGCAAAAAGTCCGGAAACGATCAAATATCTCGAAAAGGATCAACTGTAGCGAAAAATATGTAAGTAGCAAAGTTGTAGGGCTTAATAAAATGTACCTAATGATGACTAAAAATTTGACTTTGGGTGGAGGACGAAGGTCATACGAAGGTCAAATTGAATTTTTTTAATTAGACCCCCAACTTTTTATTATATATTCTTGTAGCTTATTTCAAGGGCTTTCCAAAAACCTATAATAAAGTATTTTTTTATTAGGCATATTTAGAGTTATGAGACTTGAAAGGATTTTGGACTTTAACTGTTTCTGTTACGTAAAAACGTATCACTGTCTTCTGAACGGTGGATTTAGAAATAAAATTGCGATCAGGATATGCAGCATTGAATAGATCAGCTATTTCTTGATATGATCTAATGCGGTCTCCAAATCCTCGATAAATAAGCAGCATTATTCTTTCTTTTTCGGTCGACATTTTCGAAAAAGAAATTTGAAATTGTAATTGGAAAAAGAAAAAGAAAAGACAGAGTGAGATACGAGAGCGCGACTCGTTTTTTAAAATACAAAGATCGAGAAGCATTATCGTGAAGCGCGGGTATGGGCGAGTTTCGACTGAGTACGTGTGATATTACGTCG